TGAACCACCCTGTATATTTAAAAATAATTGTTAAATATGTTCATAAAACGTTTATATTTTTTTTCGTATTTCCAATAATAAAACAGCTATTGATCAAGTAAGCACCCTGTATGTGTTAGTGGTTAACATGCTGGTATCGTGAGATAGGTAATTTTATAAGGAATTTTATTCTAAAATATTACACAGGGTGTTGCATTTGAAAAAATTGAGTGAGTTAAACTTAAAATTAGCCATATTTAACACATGTTTCAAAACGTTGTATAAAATAATCCAGTTGTGTCACCACTGTTCGTTAGCTTAGTATAATATGTATTTTAAACAATTTTAAAATTATTGTTAACCTACTTAAATTATGATTTGGGGTCTGCATCATTCTCTAATAAAAAATAATAATGGCTAGGCAACCCTGTAATATTTTTTAAAAAAGTCTAAGGTTGAATATACTATTACCAAGCTATTCTAAAACTGAAATAATTATTTAGAAAATATAATTTTTTTTATTTGTGATGCAATAACGCAATACCCTGTATATCCAAAGATAATCCACAAATTATTGAAAACTTGAAAAAGTTACTGAGACTTATTCATTTTAAAAAATTATTTTAGTTTTAACTAAACTTTATAAGTAGTCTTATTTAATATACAGGGTGTCACTATGTTCGACCAACAACGATCTGTCCCATTAATAAATTTTGACATAAAAACATTAACCCTCACAGAGCTTAGTTGTCGAGATTCAGGGTGTTAAAAGTTAGAAATTAAAATTTTAAATTTTCTATAAATGAAAAATGTCTTTAAATAGTTTTTTAAAATTTGGTAAAAAGGTAATATTTTGATATATACTAACTTTTGAAAAATTTAACCAATCTTATTTTTTTACGCTACTGGAACTATTTTTTAAATTTTTTTTAAATTTTATGTTAATTTTTTGTTAAATAAAAAAGTAATAAACTTTTATAGAGCTAAAATGAAGTGTGTTGAAGACATTTTTTCTAAACAAAAGTCTGCAAGTTCTTAGGTAGATTATTCAATATTTCTTAATTCTAATTTAGCATATACGTGTCAAATTTTAATAATTTATGTATTTGACAAGATCTTGGTAAATCAAATTTGAAAAAAAATATTCAAAGGCTTTTTTGAATTTTTGAATTTTGATTTCAAACTTTTAACACCATGTATTTAGGTAACTACGCCCTTTAAGGGTTCATGTTCCTTTATCAAAATTAATTAATTAACGAGAGCTCTCAATAGTAGGGCGTTGACAGTCGAATATAGTGGCACCCTGTATCTAGTAAACAATTTAATTTTTAGTTTAATAAAACCTATTTAAAGTCGGTCCTGATTTTTGTTTTGCATTTCACCACATTACTACGCAAAACTGAAATAGTTATTTTATACCAGCAAATCAACTAAAAAACCATTAGTAATTTTAATCATTCTACAAAAAGTGTTTGTTTTTATAAACACTTATAGTAAGACAATGACTATTTAAGAGGATCAGATTAGAGCAGTTGGATAGCTTTCTTCAGTTACTTATGGCATAATATTACAATAAAATAAAAACAAGTCAAAAATCAAAACAAGTAACTAACCTCAAAAGGTTGTTTTTTAATTTTAACCCTTTTCACATTATTACTATTTAATGGCTATAATCTAATAATCAGTTACATTTACTGTAAGCCAATAATGATTCTAGAAATGACACTGTTATAGTTATTGGTATTAGACATTTACACGACTGTCGTAAACGTTGTCACACATCAAACTAGAAATGTAACCATTTAAAATTTAAAACCTCCGATTCCAAAAATGTTTCAGTAACAGGTTTGGATTTAAAACATATGAATAACTATATTCATATGTAAATATCAATCAATTTCTGAAATAAAAAAGTGATGATAATTCCCCTTTGTTTCCAGTGTTTTCCAATCGATCTTATCAAATCGATAATATACCTGCAAACTATGTATGCATTCGTAGAGACGAGAGAGAAGAAGAGAAAGAAAGAAACTGGTCCGGTCCTCGATTGGGAGCATCGCCAGCCAGCAAGTCAGTATTTTATTACCCAAACGAGAATCGGGTTACTAATGTCGTGCGAAGCACGAATTGAATTACCTCAGTGATATATCGAATGGCCCTTTGATGACAAGACACTTCATTTCGTCATTCCGAATATTTATTAACGTCTTTTCCTCTACCAAGGACGGTTAGTTACCTCTTTAATTAGAAATTTATAATAGGGTGAAAGTAAAATCGAATATGTATCATTTTTGATATAGAAGGAACTCCTATACTCGCACTTAAAAATAATACGAACTCTTTCTAGTTGAGATTTCAGTATTGCAATTATACCTTTCACTGAACGCCTTTGATGTAGCGGCAATTGTGAAACATTTAAAATTACTTTTAATGACAAATATAGAAGAAGTTTCATACTTAATACGAGTATTATTCCCCATGCTGCACCCCTGACCCTATTTATAGTTGGTTAATTAGAGTGTATTTTCCTAAAATGGTAAAATGGTATTACTACAATTTATTGAGTAATAATAATTATTGTTGAAGTAGATCATAACCTACATTGATGTACATACTAAATGAAATAATAATGAGAAACTATAAACTGTTCTTTATTTAAAGACATAGAAAAAACTATGTGATAGTAAAACTTGACTATTTAAAATTATAAAATGTTAAATATACTGGGCGATGATATCAAAATTAGTATAATGTAGGCATAAAGTTTGCATAATTTAGCATCTTCCCTCATTGAGTAATTTTCGATCACTCCCATGATTTTTCATATCTTAATTTGAACAAAGCCTTCGTCAAGAAATTAGTTTGAACAAAGAAATTTTTTTGGATATATATAAGGTTTGTTCAGGTTTATTTAAAACTCGATGCAAACAGTCCGAGAACCAGTGGAACAGTTCAATTCCAAATTAATCGTCGCATACAACTATTAAAGTGTCCACTGTAAACTAATCCTCTGATAGTTCTCAATGTATTTTTAAAGAACCCGAACAGACCTATAGCGCCCTCCAGAAGTTGTCGTGTCTAATTCCGATGACATTGGTTCTTCAATAGAACTACGAGTTTTTTGACAATTTTACAGTAGATTCGTTATTAAATGTTAACACCTCGTATTTTTTATATTTTTCTTTAATAATTTTTTCGTAAAATCTTTTAACTTTCTAGATGCCTCACTAGCAGCTACTATCTCTGCCTCAGTTAGAGGATATCGCTGAACTTTGTCTCTGGCTGTGCCAAGATACAGCTGCTCTTAAGAAGATAAACAATGCCCCAGTTGTTGAACGACCAGTGGTTTTATCCTCGCCATCATTTACGTCACTAAAAAAATCTCATAGCTTCTGGATCAGCACTATATGGGTTATAGTAGCTGCTAATGCTCTTGATGTATCGATAAATCCCTTTGACCCTTATAAAGTCAGTGTTAGATGGGTTCTCAAGGTATCTACTAAAAACATTGACTGCATAGGACGGGAACCTTACATGAAATACATTAGGGCTCTAACTGCTTCTATGAAGAAGTATATGCACAATCTTCATCTGCCTGATTAGTATCGTTAGTAATGGGTATGGAAACTGGTCTTTTAGTCTGTCCCAAACGTTTCTTGTATAAGAAGGCCGATTCGAATCGATCTTTATCTACTTCTAGACCTAAGAAGTAGGTAGATGGCTTAAGTTAATTTTGAATTCTTTTTACAAATCTTCAAAAAATTATTCATTCAAGTTCTAGTCGGTAGATCTATATCTGTACCTGTAAGTGTGGAAGGTGGGTTGGCCCATGGCAATTTAGGCTTCGATAGACCCATTGTACATTCTCCTAGCTCGTCAGCCAGCCTACAGATTTAATGTAGTTGACAATATCGTCAAGAGTTGCTTCTTCTATATCGGTCTGTGTTAGCCAATGGAAAGGCCGGGTCCAAAAAGTATTTGATTGGGTGTCTTTTTGGCTAGTGATTTAACTAGACGGTTACCTTTCGATGTGGCGTAAACTTTGATCCATCTTAAGGTGACCACACTGTTGGTGGAAACTTTGGCCAAGGCTTCGTGACATTCTAGTTTTAATCCTAAGTAAATTCGTGGTATGTCCAGGGCGAGTAGTGCTTGTCTACTATCAGCTCCTCTATGTTCCTTCCAGTGATATTGTTTCTGGTAACTTCTTTTGCTGCTATGAGAATATCCGTGAGCTCGATTCGTACTGCACTGGCATTATTGCTTACATATTATTTTATGTCAAGGTTTAAGGTATATTCCGCATCCCAAGCTTTGAATTGTATTTGTCACTTCCAGCTCTTCTATTTGTTCTGTGATAACTTTATATGGCTTATGGAAGATATATCTCGGTGAGATAGAGTCCATGTTCGCTTGAAGCAGTGGAAGTATTCTCGCCTCACCAGGTTCTATTCTAACCGTGCGGAGTCGTGTCATTGTCCATTGTTATCAGAGCAACCTTCTTGATGTTAATGTCAAGGTGAGGGTGACTCAGAATGTCTTCCATGGCTCTGGTTGATGTAGCTTTCATTTTGAATTCTAATTTGCGGATATCTGTCAATTGTTGGTAGTTGTTAGATGCCAAGAGACCTCCATAATGGACTAGAAGCATAATTTGTTGAGTGTGCCTTTTTAATGAACAAGGAAGCATCAGTTTCATTCGATTTGAATCCGAATCTAGTAATATAGTCTACAGACCTTTTATTAAAACAACTATATGCTTGTTTAACATCATGTAAATTTCTAAGTAATTAACTATCTTTTAATTTTAAGGGTATTTTTTGTATAACAGTATTAAGCATGAAGTGACTAAACTAATCGCACATAACCGTTCTCTTATCATTAAATATATGGGGTATTGCTTCTGGGCTTCATTATTTTGCTTAATAAAGAAATTGTTGAAATATTATTTATATTAGAAGTAGATAACAAGAGTTACCGAATGATGATAGCAGAAGAAGAGGTAGAACCTTTTTGCTTACCTTGATCCTTATCGTCATCGTCTTCCGGTTCTGATATATTGTCGTCGTCTTCCTCTTCGACTGCTGACCGGGGGGATCTGGGCGAGGGGGGTACATCGGGCCCGTCCGCTTCGCTACCAGAATGGTCGTTATCCCCCAGGGAACCGGCACTGCCACCCCCGCTTTTTGATAAATTTAGAACTGGACTGTGTTCTGTTGGCGACACTGTAACAAAACAATAACATTAGTTTGCTTATAACTAGTTAAATGTATTAAATAATGTTCGTTCTCTTTATGCTTAAGGGTCTTCTTTTATTAGCTAGTGGTGCTTATGGTTAGCACAGCTTGGACTACTTCGGGTACGCCGTTTTCACCTTGATCTTTTTTGCTGGTCTCTTCATAGAATTTGTAGCCTTCTTCTATTTTACTTGTTTTCAACTGTCTTCAGTGCCAAGAAATATTTTATTCCATATATAATGTCTTAGAGTATGACTGACAAGTTTTATTGTATGGTTCGAGACGTCTTTTTGTTCCATTCCCATCTGAGAAGTACATTAAGCATATAGTATCGGCATATTATTATAAAATAAATATTTTCTCTCAGAAAACAATTCCGTTATTTTTTATTTCACATAATGAAACCGTTTAAACTGAAACAAATCCATGCACGAGCCTTTTTTACAACCAATTATCTTTTTATCTACGTAAACGAGAAGTGGGATTTATACAAATTTAACAGCGTGCAATTAAACATCCTTGTTTTTTTTAAAGGAATAACAGGCAATAAATTCAGAAAGGGTTCATCCGCACGTATATCCAGATTGATGCGTCGACGAATTGAACCAAAAACAGCGTAAAGTCCGATATATACCTATTTAGAACGAGCCAGTGGCGTAGATATATACGGCATTTTAGTTTTAACGGTGTACGATTTTTTAAATCTCTCAAGTGTATGATAATTTTTAACCAAATATAGTTTATTATGATGATAATAACCTTGTTTGATAGTTAAAAACGACTTCTTTCAGTAGACTGATTCATTATCATCGATAGATAGCAGACGAATGACCGGCCCAATACTGCAATTATAGAAAGTTTTGTAACATGTTGATTTTAGTTTTAGAATAATTAAATAGGTATGGCATTTAAAACACATTCTTAGTATAAAGAATATTTACTTTTAATAAAATATTGATTTGTCTTGAATAAGAATCTTTGATAATTTAAAAGATACAGGCATTTAAAACATATCCTTAATATACAGCATTTTAAAAAGGCATTGCTTTGTTTTGAATAAAATTTTTAATATGATTCAATTCATTGCAATTGTTGTCTTACCTTTTTTTTTAAGATCCTGATGGTCTTATGAGCAGAAAACGTGTAGCATAATGACCTGCGAGTATGCTGTGAGTATGTGGTGGTTATTTCACTTAGTTTTCACCCCTTTTATATTACTATTTAGTTGTAATTCATGTTTGTTTACATTTTATTTCAACAATGTTTTGACATTATTAATTATGGAAACTCTGGTTATCTTCTTCTTTCTAGGAAATAACTGTCGTCTAGTTTGTACGGTCCGATAGCCAATTCTTGTTCCGTGGCACGAATTTGACAGATAACATTAAGGGGATATTTGAGATCAATACCATTGATTGTCCATGACGTCATGTTATATTAGGGTACTTTCCTAGGAAAATTGGGTTTAATACTTAACTCTAGTTAGGAATAATATTTTATTAGGACGTATAAATACATCTGGGGTCGAATTAGATTACTTTAGATAAGTTTTCTGGTAACTTGTGGCGATCACCGGAAGTGTGATTTCCAAAATATGCATGGTCATATCCTCCTTGGTGAAGCCATCTTGACTTTTGAAAAAGGGGTTAAATACGCCGTAGCCATGAGGTTCGTGGAACATTATTTGTCGTCTTTTTGTTGGGAAAGGTACCGGGGGTACGTGGTTTACTGTTCGTCTGGCCTTGTGAGTCGAGGGTCGTCGCGAAGCACGTAGATAAAACCAAAACGTTTGTCGCCGATAGTGATCGGATTATTAAACACGTTGCTGTGTCGCGCAGGGGTTGGTACCCTAAACCATTTTTGGGATATTTACGACCGTGGTGAGCGAAGCCTGCTAACGGCCCGCACCACCGACTGCCTATATCAGACTTCCAGAGGGTCAACGACCCCATTGGATTCCGTCCGCAGCCGCTGTTCCATTGTTCCGGATATTCCAGACGCATCTGGGTGATGCGCTGTGAAGTGTGATTACTGTACTTAAGTCCAGTTTTGTTCAATTGATTTCCTGCAGTTCTACAAGTTCTAAGCCAGTTTCCTGTCCGGGGTAATCGTAACCAACACCAGTGGTGGAGAGTTCCATCGCTTAATGGATTTCTACCAGAAATCAGGTATCTGAAAGTCTGTGAACCAAGGTATGAAAGACCTTCAGTCTAATAACTTCAGTGATACTAGTAATTTATATTTTGATTTGTCATTTAACTTTTATTTATGGGAATAATTCTGTAACTTTATCAATTGTGCTTAAGCTTAACCTGCTGTAAGCCTTAGTGATCACGGGGTAATATTGATTGTTTCTTTTACTCTAATAATTTTGAATTCAGATAATTCTACTTTAGCTTTAGTAATTTTTCTTGTCATTTTGTATCTTAAAAGAGCTCTAGGTAAATATATACCTATCTATCTGATCTATGAAATTTTATAAGAACATATATAAAATAGTAATACTAACTAATGACCTACACCTTTTGTCCCGACAGCTAGCCGAAGTGGTCTTCTTCTCTAAGCTCTAGGAGAACACTATAACCTTTTTTTGAAACGGTTATTCTAAATTCTAAATAATAATATACAAAACTTAGGAGGTTACCAACTAACACCGATTTTTGAGTTATAGTAAATAAACACCGTTATAGTTTATTATGCAAAACAAAACTCTAGATATTATTAGAACATGCCGAGATCAATGTTGATATAGTGCTGCAAAATTTTAATATAGAAAAACCAAATGAAGATATAATTTGTAGCTAGAAGATGCTACAGATGATATTTGAAGGAAAAGAGTAGATATCTTTCGGGAAATACGGATGAATGCTGGTACGAGGCTACTGAAGTGTTCAAATAGCCATGCGTGACACCAACAGAGGGAGAGAATTTATGTTTATTGTCAAAGATAATTACAATTAAACATTTAAAAACCGTTATATATTAGTGATTCTTTGACTAAGTTTATATTTAGATATAATAAAAATCAAATATCTAAAAAATCTAGCAGATCTAGTAGTGTTTGCATAGGCATCTTTGTTTTAATATATTAATGAGTGGCCTCCAAGAGGCAAAATATTTGTCTTGACATAGTTAACAAAAATAAACAAATATTGCTATAGAATTCCCAAAACTATACCGTATTTCCTAGATTAGATTTAACTGGACCAAAATAAACTTGCTGCAAACCGCAATTCCCTCCTGGTAGATCTAAACGCAAAACAACCAGATGATAAACTTAAACTTTCAATTAGGTAATGTATTTTTAAAAGTTAATTGTTTCGTTTTATTGGCATTCAAGTTTTTCTTACATTATTCATTAACTTTTAATAGACCACGATATACTATATCAGGAAGCTTACTTGTACCTTTAGAATGCCATAAAAGTGTGGTATATTTAGCAACTATTGAAAGTGGGCTGAAATATCAAGAAATGCAGGTTCATATACATGAAGAGACCATGAACTGACCCTTGAGGAACACCCTACTGAACATCCATGTAGTAAATGAGAATCTATAATAATTATGTTCTCGTCCGGACAAATAAGATTCCATCCATTTCTGAGCAATATCTTTAATACCATAGTGATGAAGCTTTCTAAAGCATCTGACCATGGTTCACAGCTCACCCAATCAAATGCTTTTATGTTTTTGTTAAGTCGCAGAAGGCTGCTATTACGTTAATGCTGTTGTAAATTATTTGTCGTGCTATATTTTTTACGAAATCCAAACTTATATAATCGTAATTTAACAAGTTTTTCAAAATTTTTACCCCGAGTTGGTATGAGACAAATCTGACTGTAGTTGAAGAGAGTACCATCACCGATTTTATATAGTCGTATAACTACTCTAATTTAATTAATATGAATTGCTACTACCGATAACGCAATTTTTAAATAGTAATTTTAAATATTATCATCGTTTCTGAAGGAATTTTTATTTTTTATTAGATTAAATGTATCCCTTAATTACCCCCACGTTACTCCCAATTAGAACAAAGGTCTAATTCAAAGAATAAGCAATAGTTCTCATTTGGATGTTTGGATATTTAGATATTTTCCTTATGTTTCCCCTTAACAATAGTAAAGTCCCATAGCCAGGGCCGACTAGAGGGGGGTAGCCGGGACTAATTCCCGGGGGCCCGGACTCAAATGGGGGCCCGGCAGCGGTATAAGGGGGGCCCGGCAACTGGATTTTTTTTGTTTTGTATGAGAAACTCGACACAAGACGAGAGGGGGAAGTTTTTGGCTGGGGAGCGGTTCTTTTTTTTTTGTTTTTTTTTTTTAGAGAAAGCAATTGAAGCAGAGGAGGAAAAGTTTTTGCTTGGGGACCTTTTTTTTTAGAAAATTCAATTCAAGTAGAAAAGGAAAAGTTTTGTTTGAAGAGCTTTTTTTTGTCACAGGGCCCGATCTAGAGAATTGTCCTGGGGCCCGGCCTGGCTCTCGGCGGCCCTGCCCATAGCTTGCACACCTATGGCATCTATAAAGAATGAACGACAATAATTAAATTTTTAAAAACATCGGATGAATAAAACCAGAAGGAAGAAGAATAAGGAGATACCTAAAGAAGAAATGGAGAAGCTGTGAGAGAGAAGAGAGAGGTTCTAAAAACTTTAAACTTTAGAGTTATTGAACAAACAGGAAGAAGCTAGTAAGCTATTTAATTGCAAATGTTTGTATTTTTTGGTATAAAGTTCACAACGCTACGCCACTGCATCATACACCGAGACTATCACGTCCGAAGTCCGGGGTTATTCGTTTCAATTTCTGCATATGCGTATTTAATTGTGACCCTCCCGGTAATTTATCGCCTCTCTAGATTGGTTTGTGTCCGCGTCCGTCCGACTGAAATCCCACTTTTACAACCATTAATTAAATTCACGAATGCGATAGTTAACTTTTTACGTCAGTCGGTGGCACATGAGCCTCGTCTTTTAAACGGTCACCGCCTGCACGGACTATCGCGGCGGCCAGCCACCAGCCATCCGACACATCCGAACCTCGCGTTTTATCAAAAACGCAATTGCATTCCTAGATACCTACCGAACTCTCGATTTTAGCTTTTCCAATCGACGTCGACGTGGGGTATTTTCAAAATTTTGTGATAATTCTAAATAGATTTTCTTTTCTTATTTTTCTTTTCTTCTTCTCGTTGTTTTAAGGCGTCCAAAGTTTAAGGTTTTTTAACATTTTCTTCGTCTCCTATCTAGAGCTTCGCATTCAAAGATAACTTGGTATGAGGTTTTTTCCTCTTCCATGCAAGAGTCTACACGTGGTGGATCATTATGTAATCCTATCACATGATGGTGTTTCAGCAAGCAGTGTCCTGTTGGTAATGCCACAATGATGGATATCTGGGGCTCAGCAGCCATACGTAGGTTTGATCTTCTTAGCATGAGCTTCCTAATTATGTGTCCTCTTGTCTGTGTCCATTGGTTTGGCGTTTAGTAGTGTTTGCTTATCCCAAATTCAGGTTCAGATCCTGTAAATGGTAGTTTTGATTCCTTAGTGGCGAATTCCTCATCCTCTTCATTTCTTTGGATACCTTTATATCCTTTTACCTTATTTTGACTTGCCAGATCATTAAGTAGGTATTCCAAGGTAGTTCCAGACCAGCTTATACTTGATTTGTTTGAACCAAAACTTAGACTGCTTGGCCTTCTAACAAAATTAAGCAGGTTTGTTTTTCATACTTCCTTTTTGGTTATATCTTGCATACAATTAAATTTCATGTATTTTTAGTCTGAAATACAGTTGTTTACTCAATGAGACGGTGATGTCGTATTTGGATTTAACTCCATGTAAAACCACAGTCTGTTCTCTTGGTGAAATGGCTAACTCAATAAAACTTTTTCTTTGAATTACTCATAAAAACAGTTTTAAAGTTCAAACAGGCTTTATGTTAATACATCTTGCAAGGCGAGCGGTCATCTTTTTCCAGGGCAAATACAGTTTTTTTGGAGTATAATCAATAAAAATATTATTTACTTACAATTTCGGGGACTGCTGAGATCTCTTGGTTTCTGATCTAACGGTAAAGGTTTGTCGGGATCGATCCGTTCTTCTCGTAACCTGTAACAAAAAAATGACATTATTATCTAGTATTAAAAATTATATGAACTTTGTAGCGAAGTAGATGAGACAAATCAATATGCCTACGGAACCTAAGTACATCGGAGCGAAATCTCAAAGTAAAAAATAATCTATACAGATGTTTTGGTTTTTCGAAAACATTTTACTTTTCTCTAAATAGAAAAGGTAAGATCGATAGAATAAATGGGCTGTGAAATAATAAGAATACATGTTTAAAACATTTTATCCACGTCTTTAGATACCAATTTTCATCTTCTATTTTTTATCTAACCATAGTAGGTTCTTATAAAAAAATGTACCACCCATCTTTTCAACCCTTTTATTATGAACATTATTGTAAAACATAATCCAGTGAGTAACATTTTCGGTTTTAAGATTTTTTGTATTCGTTATTTGTGTTCATATATTCAAGCCAACCAGCAATTTGTCACGTACTACACAAACAAGTAAACTTATGAAGCTTAAAACCAAGAGAATGAAATATTATTCATATTCTCAAATGTGGTAGGTATTCTTAAAGTAAGAATGAAACTCAAAATCAATACCACACTTTATTGATTATTGCTAAGCGACTAGTCTCGGCTTTATTTAGCCATCTTCAAGCATATATTACAAAGATGTTCCATTACAGGAAGGAATCAAAATAATATGGTTGTGTATAATTACATAAAATAGTGTTAAAAAATGTAACTTCTAAAGCTATAGATATAGATTCCAGTATACAGTGTGGTTGATAAATAAGTGTTATTGACCATGTGAAACATAACATTTAAAAAAGTCTTGAATTACAAAATGATTGATATAGTGGTTAATCTACAATGATGAGCAAACTATGATGATTCTTGCACTCCGCGGGGAAAGAGACTAGCAGTGAGTCGTGGAATAAACTGATATCAACGGATTACTATACATTTTACACAAAAGGAATGTACATTACTGTACCTCGGAGCCAGACTATGTTAAGTCCAAATTGGCCAAATTTTAGGTAAATATGTTAAGTGACTTAAAATTTTGCGGCGCATGGTTCGATATTTTCCATTTTGACGTATCTTTTAAAATAACAAAAACAGCTCATTTTTTAACTACGCTAAGCCCACACTCCACAGTCTAAAATGAATATATAAAAAATGCTCTCCTGAAAAACTAAGTTTTTGGACTTAACATACTCTGGCTCTGGGGTACAGATTAAGACTTCATAGAAATCCATCTGTGAAGAACCGCCAGATGTTATTAATGAAATTAATGGGAATGCTCCTTACCTGTAGCAATATGCTGCTACAGGTAGGTTAGGTTAGATTGAAAATGAGTGAGATTATTTTACTGCCTTCTACTGCGACTCACATGGATCTACAAGTTACAAGCCACACTTTTTTATGAGGGTGAGACCTGTTTAAAGTCAGTAGGCTTTAGTCGGGTGAATCCAAAGATCTGAAACCTAGTTCTTTCCAAAGCCGAGCAGATACATAGAATGTGATCTGCAAATTCTTCTTCTACGCTGCAGAATCGACAGTTCGTTGTCTATTGTAGACGTATCCTTCTCATGTGGTTTCCTAGACGACAATGTCCTGTCATCAGTCCCGTAAGAATGCATAGATCTTTTTTACTTCATTCCCGGATCTGATCATAAGGCATTCATGGAAGGGTTGGTTATAAACGCCTTCAAATGAGTTAGCCCTGGGCTATTTCTCCCATTCGTGACTATTGTATTCTTCGCCTATTTTGAGATAATTTCATTGACAGTGCTTTTTGCAATTCCCAGAAATGTTTCTGGACCTATGAACTGAGATTCGGTTCCTCTTTTAGCGAGCGCGTCGACTTCTTCATTGTCCTCTATACTGCTGTGTCCCGGAACCTAGATCAAAGGGTATTTAGACAGTTCCAAACCAGCTTTGAGATAACTCGTTTAGAGTTCAGGGCCAGGCTATAAAAAATCTTCATAGTTTTGTTAGCGGGAATAAATATAATCAACTCTCTCCCTTCCAATTGTATAACAATCATTAAAAAGTCGTGGCCAGAGAGCCCAGGTTTATTAATATGTCAATTCTTGGTCTCTGGTCGCAAACTCTCACCTCTACTCAATTTTTAATTTTGGTGCTGTCCGCGCACATTTCATAGTCCGCTTGGGAGAGGATTATTACTATAGGTAACTCATATTATTAAAGAAAGAAAAAATCTATGTTGTCAGTAAGAAAAACTCCTTAAAGACACTAACAGTCGTCAGATTCCTGACAATTTTGTTAAAATGGCAAGAAAGTATGATCCAACATTTTGCACCTTCCATCTTTGGTTCTGCTTTCATATCACTAATTGAAAAGGTTTGATACCTTTGTCTTTTCGTCAGGTATACAATAGGCAAGAGATTATCATTATATCCAATAGCTAAGCAGCCATCAAAGTGCTAAACTTTTACGTAATTAGCTCAAAAATGGTTTGGAGATTGCCTAGAAACACTGAATGAGCTAGGCAAGGAAAATACAGTTACTCCCAATTGGGACTTGGGACATAATGCGGTAAAGAGTAACGAGATTGCAGATAGTCTAGCAAGAAAATAGACTCAAACACCCTTTGTAGGACCTGAGCCGTTATGCGGTATCATCAGTAACACAATATTAGAATAGATTAAAAAATAATTGGGTAGCAGAAGAACCGATAATTGGAACAATCTCTTGGGGCTAAGACGTGCTAAGATACTTCTAGGTGAATATAATCAAAAAAGATCGAAAGCCTGTATCGGCCTGAGCAAGAACAGTCTAAGCATTGTGGCAGCGATCCTTATCGGGCATTGCCGACTCAAAGGACACGTTAGAGTAGCAGATGATAACGAGTGCAAATTCTGAGCAAGAGGAGGAGGAGGGGGACGGAACTTCCATTCACATTCTGCGTAGCACTCCAGAATCCAAGGGCACTATATCCAGGAACATATCAAATAGAAAAGGGACATCTACCTAACTTGAAGCCACTTTAAATCTTACACTTTCTAAACAAGATAGGATAAGAAGGGTCGTTATATTCATTGAGAGATTTTCCTTGCTGTATTAGCGACAGAAGGGAGTACATTAGATCTTCTAGGTCGCAGTGTATTAACAATCTCTTCCCAACATAACATAGCTATAAGGTTGTTCAAAAGATGTAGAACTTCAATATTTTATTCTGAAAATTTTGTATTATATTTATGTGATTTTTACTGGCAGACCCCTTGGAGCTCTATTGCCGTAAGCCCATACCAACTTCAATATTTGTTTACAATAATAATATTTTTTTATTTTTTATTAAAAAATTTTCAATTAATTCTCTTTTCATCGACTAATAGAAAGAGTGATCTATCAAAAATGTTTCTAAAGTAGGTTATGACCGACAAAGACAGAGATACGAGTTATGTAAGTAATAACTGCAAACGGCTATGAATTAAATCCAAACTGACACTTAATAAGAAGAAGAATTATATGCTCAAAGACCCACTTTAGAACATTTTTTTGTGAAACTCTTAATGATTTTCAGTATTTAATTCTCACCTCTTCCCATTTTTGTTTTTTCCTTTTTTTTTTTTTCATTTTTTTCTTTCTTTCCTTTAATAATTTTATATCTAGGTTTAGCCTAAGTATTTTTTTTTTGAATTAGAATCTTATATTCTAGTGTTGCTTAATAGTGGTAGGTATTCTACTAACCTTTAACTAGTAATTTGAGTTTTTGAGGAAAACAAATATGTTGTTTTTTGTTTGTTTAAGGTGTATAACAGTAGTACTGAAATATAGTTATTTACTAACCAAGTGCGGGAAAAATATTCGCGCATCTTAAAGCATTCGCTCCTTATGTACTCATGCGCGAAAGATGTCGACTCGACCAGAACCCCTATTTTTCCTTACTGCGAATGTCACTCGCCTAAAGATAATGATGTAGCACAGGGGGGGTGCACAGCACAAGACTAGGGTAGCGTTAACATCAACTACCTCCACTTCAGCCCTACAGTCGTGTGGTGGGGTGGGAGTGTAGTGACAGATGACAGGTTAATATTGATTTTTGTGTTGTGGGGGCCAGGTGACATGGCGGAAACGCCGGAAACTAGCTAATAATTTTACTGTCAAATTTGAATGGCCCCGCGCTTTTCTTCTCTTCTTCTTTTTATTATTCTTCTTACATATGGCCTCTTACCCGATAAAGGACTTACTCGAAAAAAATCAACCACGTCCGCCAGGTGGCGCTGAAATTCTATCACTGTTTTCTAACATAGGAGTTACCGTTCTAAGAGTAAGTGTCCTGTGATGGAGCAGTCGTCTAGGAGCACTCTCACGAGTCAGTTAATAGGTATCCAGGAAGCAGTGTTTCCCTGTCGACCATTTTATGCAAGATAATTTAGGCGGTGAGTTCAAAAATACTTTTTGTTTTTTTTATTGTATTTTAATTTTTGAATTGAATTTAAATTAGAATTTTTGAATGAACACAAAAAAATTATAAATAATGCGATAATTTTAACTTTCAGACTCCTAAATTAAGATTGACAGAAAATTTCGTGGTATCGTTAGTGGTGTAAAGTAGTTTATAAAATTCTCGCTGTAGATTTTCAATTAGAATTTTTTAATTAATCACCAGCACCATACGGTAAGTAATTTACAAGCATAATTTATCTTTATTATCAATTCATTTTTTACACCTAGCCATTCAATAAAAAACATAATATACATAATAAACTAATAGAATTATTTTTATTGCCTCTACTACTGAATTAAAGGCCGATTTTATTGAATGTGATTTTATAATTAAATAAAAATACTTTATTGCATTATTATGCAACATGGAAACAGTAATAAATAAATAATATGAGAAAAGCCATTGAAATAAATTACGTTTAACAACATAACAACGTATAGGTGATTGAACACATAATTAGGTATGTGTTATGGCAGTTAAAAAGCATTAAGCAGAAGGAGTAATGTACAGATTGTCTGTCCTAGACGGGAAATTTTAATAGAAAACGCAGATGG